GGATGCAGGCATCACTGTGGCAAGATGACTTTGATTCTCAAGGATTGATACTGAGGAGTGCATAGCTAGGTCATGTGGTGGTCCCTACCTACTCTTCTGGGGAACCTCCATACTGATCTCCGTGGTGGAATCATAGGTATCTGTCACCATGCCCGGCTGTGTTTGTTTTCAGCACTGAGAATAGAGCCCAGGGATGCCCTATTGCTAAGCTACATCCCAGCCCTTTTTATTTTATCTAATTGACTCAAAAGTTGCTGAGGCTGGCCTTGAAGTAGCAATCTTCCTGCCTCAGCCTCTTGAGTAGTTAGGATTCAGGTGTGTGCCACCATGCCCAGTCTCTGCTTCAAAAAAAGGTTTTTAATCAATGTAAATCACCTTAACAGACTAAAGAGCCAGAGTTTGAATATGATGATTTGTTGTTTGCTGTTGACACTTCCCAGACTTGAGTGAACACTCTGGAGATAATGTTTCTTATTTGGGAGTACTGTTTCAGCCCATCCATGATTCACTGTGGAGCTGTGGATGGAGACCAGCCCTTTGTGCATGCCATGTGCACTCTGCCCCTGAGCTGCAGCTGAGCTGTTGACCAGGTACACCAGCAGGCCATTGAGGTCTAGGCGTGCAGGAGCTGCCTCTCGAGCCCCATGACCTAGCAGATCCAGTGATGCCTGAGGCATCGGTGGCAGAGGGGGCTGCCTGGACCCTCTGGCAGGCTCCATAGGTGAACTATAATGCAGGCCCTTAGGACTTTGGGTAAGGCCCATGTTTATGTAGGTAAGTAGTCTCCTTTTGAGAACCAGCTTTTGGCTTGCTACTGGGGCCTATTAAGAGTTGCTTTAGGAGGCTGCGGCTGTGGTAGAGCACTTGCCTAGCATGAGTGAGGCACTGGCTTCCATCTTTAGCACCACATAAAAAGAAACAAATAAAATAAAGGCATGTTGTCCATCTACAACTAAAATAAATAAATAAATATAAGAGTTGTTTTAGTTTTAGTTGGGGTTTTTCAAAGAAACAGAACCAATAGGATATATGTGTATGAATATTCATGTGTGTATATATAGTTGGCTCACAGTTTGAAAAGTTACACTACAGCTGCTTGCAACCTGGAGAGCAGAAAAGCCTCAGAAGCAGGAAGGCCAAAGGTGTAGCCCCAGTCTGTAGTCAAAAGGCCCACAAATCACTGGAAGGCTGTTGGTACAAGCCCCAGAGTCCTGCAGTCATATATCCAAGGGAGCAGGAAACCTGACACTCAGGAAGAACCGGTCTTCCTCTTTGGTGTTCCAGTCCGTCTGAGTCTGTCCTGAACCACCCCCACCCCCACCCCCACCCCCACCCCAGATTAGATGGTGAATGGTGCCTGTCCACACTGAGGATGGGTCTGCTCTTGTGTTTGCTCACTGATATGCCAGTCTTCTTTGGAAACAACCTCATAGACATGATCAGAAGTAAAGATTTTCCAATTCTCTAAGCATCCTTCAACCCAGCCAGTTGACACTCAAAGTTAACCATCACAGGGACTGAATGTTACCAGAGTCCGAAGCCAAAGGCCTGACTCTGGGGCTCTAACAAATCAGGTCTCCACTAGCCCCAAACATGAGGTTGAAAAAGTAATGGTGATGAGCAGTGATTAGTGCCACTACCCTGGGAAGATGGGACTGTGTCCTCAGCCCTGTCTTCCAGGGGTTGGCAGTGGCTTTGAGGCCTAATAGACATGGGAATGGAGGCTCTGCTCAGCTGCTGAAGCAGGGGACCTTGATAAGGTGTGGTCTGTCCATCATTATCTCAGGACAGGCTGGGGGTTCTTATCAGAGATAAGAAGGTTGCTGTTACCTGGCTGAGTTTTGGTTCATCTCAAGATGTTTATTGATCAGACCAATTGTCCCTGGAGTGCAGGGTCACTCAGAACAAAGGAGACAGATGCAAAATGGAGGAGGAGGGGCAAGCAAAACTTAACAGTGTAAGTGCTTGCTACATGAATACTTAGCAATGGAGCACCAAGTCATTGAATGGGAAAACATGAGAAAATGGTGATGTCCCCATGAATGTGCTCTAAAGGAGGGCCTCAGCTGAGCGGGGCTTCAACAGTCAAGTGCACAGGGCAACCTGGTCTGTGGATGTCAGTCTCTCTTCCTAGCCTCCCATGTCACTACTCGAGAGCTCATGAACAAAATGGCCACAGTGATGGGGATGGAGGTTACTCATGTGCTCAGCAACATTGACTTCCTCTCACCAAGGTGGACCTGGCCACGGCCACTGCTGAGTGCCCATCTGGCAGCAATGGAGATTGATGCCAAGCCTCCCTATGGGATCCTTTCTTAGGGCATCACAGTGGACCACCTCCGTCATGGAAGGGCAGCATGCTGTTCATACTGGAACAGAAGCTCTGCATTTGCATTTGTCTTCTTGAATGCTTCGTCTCTGCCAAAGCCACCATCCAGAGATTCATGGATGCCACGTCCCTCATGGTATTCCACACCACGCCAATTCTGAGCAAGGAACCAGCTTCACAGAAAACAGGATCACCAAGGGCCCATGGTGATGGAATTCACGGGTCTTGCTGTGCTAGGGACATCATCTTACTATCTACTTCTCTGGTGGAATCCAGAGTGATACAGTAATACACTGGTTAACGTCAGACCCCATATACAATGGTGGTCCCCTAAGATGATAATGGGGCTAAAAACTCCTATTGCCTATACTCTTACTGTTCCTTTTCTGTTTAGATATAGAGATACCATTGTTACAGCTGCTCACAGTATTCCATATAGTAACATGCTGTACAGGTTTGTGGCTTATGAACAAAGGTCTAATAGTGTACACCCCATGCCCAGCACACTCCTGCACCCAGGCTTTGCATATATACCCTGATGGGCACACAACACTGCTCAGTGAGGCATTTCTCAGACCACACCCCGTCTTGAAGAGAGGCAGGGCTGTGTGTGGTGACAGATGTCTCATCACTCCCTTCACCACAAGTCCATGATGTTCCAGAGGCAGTCACTGCTGTTCCCTTGTGCAAACTTTTAGAAAATTTTAGTGGGAGAAGGGAGCGTGTTATGTGTGGGCAGGGGAGTATTTGGGGTCTGCCCTGGGGTCTTGCACATCCTAGACAACAGCTCTACTACGGAATTGCATGCCAGCCCTTTTATTTATTTTGAGACAGGGTCTCTGCTAAGGTGCCAGGCTGGCCTTGAACTTGTGATCCTCCTGCCTCAGCCTCCTCAGTCCCTGGCCTGCCTTACTACCATATCTCAGAGATGTTCTTATTTTTGCAAATATAGGTGGAGATGCATTTACCCACCTATATTTACGAATGTTCATATGTGTGTGTGTGTGTGTGTGTACACACACACACACACACAAACACAAACACACACACATATATATTTTTTTTAATTCGGAGGTCTTCACCAGTGTAGACCGCTGCTTGGCTCTTCCGAGCCGCCGAGAAGGCTTGTGCATGGCCGTGCCCACCGTCATTTGGTTCTCGGTCATGTTTCAAGA